TCTGCAAGACAGATCGAACGTGTTTTAGCAACGTGAACATCTAATCCAATGTTTTATAAGCTATGCGCTCCATCATATTCATGGCGCTGAACCGGGTTTTAAACTAATTACAACACCACAAATCTATTACATATTTATCGAGTATTATGTAATGGGATGGCAGCGCTTTAACCAGGCTAGCTCCATAATATGAAAAAATTTGCTGTTCCACTACCAGATGAAAAGCTCAAATACCGGCAAATAACGCTGTGGTATGACCCATATTTAAGATGTTTCCATATTCAATCTTCATTTATCGCCTAAACAGACACGATGCTGATTACTAGCATATTTGATATTAAATCCGCTGCGGGGAGCCCGGTATAATGCATACGGTATAACCGATCATACTGTATTAGGAGTCACTGTTACATATAATATTATTGTTGGCAAAATCTTATACCTTCGTTCTAGCAGATATTTTGCGCAGTTATATTATAGTTATATTACAGCTCATCAAATCTGCTGCACTAAGTACATATTTCATGAGCCCATATTATAACGGTCCTTCTTCTTATAGCCCCGCGCATGAGTGTCCCTTACCGTCAATAAAGCAATAAATAGATTCGTTCTTATTAGGAGCCATTAATTTTTTTAGTCTACGTTCATGATCTGCACTTAAAACTTCTTGTTACTGTTGCAAACCTCCAAATTAGAAAGTTTTAACCTGATGGCTGCATTTGAGCTGTTAGTTGAGGGTGACGTTCAAGATAATGACGTGAGTGTTGACCTGAAAACGGATCGGGCGAACGGATACAAGGATCAGTATAATGGTGAGTATGAAGTTTTCAAATTGATGGTTACAACTCTGTTTAATGAATAACTAATTATGTAACACTACTAAGTTACTTAGTAAGTATTCAGTTATCATATCCAACGTTTACATAATATACACTAACATACTTAACATACATGTATAGTGTATATCACCACACAAATTATAGTAATAGCACACTGCACTTGAGTCGCAGATAGATTGTAACGATGATTGGTGAGATTGGGGATCTCGATGAATAAAATATCACAAACCTGCACTGAATTGCAAAAGAAAAATTTATAAAGGAGCAAAAAAATATACATTGCTAAACCGCTCAATATGATTGATCATGATTTTCTAGTTTCCTTTTATTATTTTATTGATCCTAGCTCGCATATTGTGTGAAATTTTGATTGATGGGCGCAGTGAGCAACGTAATAAGCCTAAGGCCAAGGCATGTGCGGGTGCAAAACCGTGCTGGTCTGGGAATATCTTTTGACTCCGCTGATGAATCAGAAGATTCCAATTACTACGGTACATAACCTAATATCAATAATATTGAAGTATTGATATTTTACTAAATATTAGTTTAAATAGTTTAATTTATTAATTTATCTCTCTCAATTCTCTCAATAATCGGGTGGGCGACAATTGACCCCCCGACAATTGACCCCCCGACAATTGACCCCCGACAATTAACCCCCCGACAATTGACCCCCGACAATTTACCCCCCGACAATTGACCCACCGGCTGACCCTGACCCTGACCCTGACCCTGACCCTGACCCTGACCCTGACCCTGACCCTGACCCTGACCCTGACCCTGACCCTGACCCTGACCCTGACCCTGACCCTGACCCTGACCCTGACCCTGACCCTGACCCTGACCCTGACCCTGACCCTGACCCTGACCCTGACCCTGACCCTGACCCAGGACACTGACCCTAACCCTAACCTTAACCCTAACCCTAACACTAACCCTAACCCTAACCCTAACCCTAACCCTAACCCTAACCCTAACCCTGACCCAGGACCCTGACCCAGGATCTTGATCCAGGACCCTGACCCTAACCCGATCAATTGACCCCAGTGTAATTACATGGGGTGTCAATTGTCGGGGGGTCAATTGTCGTACTCAGCCCTAGATTTCGCGACAATTGACCCCAGTGTAATTACATAGGGGTCAATTGTCGGGGGGTCAATTGTCGGGGGGTCAATTGTCGGGGGGTCAATTGTCGCGGTACCATAATAATCCACTATCTTTAATTGGAAGTGTAACTCTCAATGAGGGTGAACTAAACAGGGGGAATATAAACCGATCGAGAAAGTGTTTATTATTCACATTAGCAACACTCGAATGTATCTATAATTTATAGTTTGTTTGTTTCCATGAAATATTTCAGGTCCGTGCAAGTAATTTCACTTGTAAATAGCTACCGATAATGTATTCGTTTTCCACCTTTTTCCGTTTTTGAGCTAAATATTTTTGTATTTATTAAGATTAAATGTCACTGTAGTAATAGCAAAACGGCAGTATTATGATTGTAACATGCTCGAGTGAGAGATTATTCGCTTGAGCATGTTTATGAGGTGATTGATAACTGTAAGGAGTGTTGCTTGAAGCATCGTTTAATCTTTGATCACTGCTACTATACCTGTTTATAATACGTTGTCGTCTTAGAAAGATTAAAATTGTCTCAATTATCATTTTTCATAGCATGTATACCGCTAACCTTTTTCAACTGGCGCCCATAATTAAAACTACTGAATAGGATATACTGGATTTAGCACCCATTTCAAGGCCACGCCCGGACCAGTTACAGATACTATACCTAGTACCTACACTCTTATTTAGCGCGACATTCCATTTCTCAACCTTTATTGTACTAACCAATAGCTGGTTAAATGTTTATGCTGCACTGCAGGTAGCACGCTATAATTTTGAGCGGCACCAAATCACCTGATACCTATTATACCGTTGCGCGTGTTTGTTTTTCATTTGAGCTGAACTACAACATAATCAAAACAAACACACTCGCCTTGTAGCGTCATCTGCCTAGAACGAATCATGATCCGATTCTAGCACCACGTGATCAAATGTCGCCAATCCTACCGTCCTACCTTGTTACCTTGTACCTTGTTAGCTGGATATTTACGTAATAAGGTTAATTTTATTACATAATCGAGTGTGTTCTTGTGACATTCTACCTCCTATATTTTGGTAATAACTGTGTGTTCGAGCGCATTTATTACATTTAGCTCCGCCGATACGTTCCTCCATTGCCAGTTACAGTGTCACCCCCGGCAACACAGCATCATAACCGTTCGTACTATTGATAGTCGTTCATTTTCTGTCTTCACGAATTCCGTCGTGGTCTACAGTTTGATCCACTGAGAGTTTTTACTCGTAGGAAGTGACTCCCCCATCTGCTTGCCTTCACAAGAAAGAAACGGTTCTGAACACCCGAAAGGCGAAAACACCGACTGTTGAAATTCTTTGTAAACAAATATTAATTCTTAATATTGTGAAGCTAAGTTCTACATAAAAGTGTCGAAATAAAGACAGCTGATTGGCCCCCAAGAATCACGTGCCGCAACAAAAAGTGCTTACTGGCCCCGAGATATCACGTGACAGAGATCATACATTACTAATTCACTGATTGGCTAACACATATCTTCTGGTCTCCCAACATGCAGAATCACATGTCAGTTTGTTTTGCTCTTATCAAATTCTTCTCGAAGATACACCACGCTGTCATGCCTGCTGGAGAGCAAAAAAAAGATTCTTCCTCCGCTGTTCTTTTGGCGAAGTCCTGCTTATTCTTCTTTCTCAGTGTTGGGATTGAACTGATGGGTGCATTGTTCGCCGTGTATTTTTTTCTTGTCTGCACCTTTACCGACCGGTTTTATCTGCCTACGGCACTATCTTCTTACAGGTAATTAGAAACAGAACATTATGGAGATTTTATTAGCGTAATTTAATCTATCTTTGCTGATGATAAATGACAATCGTATAATATGATATTACTGTTTTGTGGGAAGCGAAGTATAGTAGTACTCGAGTAGGAAGATATTTAAACTTTGTATTCTGACAAATTTTATCGCGCAATTCAACTAACTTAAACTACTAATTTCCAAGTACACACCTTAATCTGCTGTTCTTGTTCATTTTAATTGACACTCAAAACAGTTTAATAATAATGTAATACACTTTTAGCGCAAAATAGCGTATTATTATTGCGTCACACTGAAACGAACAATCTTTGGTAAGATCATGTCCAGCAGTGATTAATTAGTTTATTGTAGTCATAAATTACAGCAGGTTGTGATAATGATATATATTTGTGTAGTATCACTATCATGGGTATAGAGTATAGACACATATAATGAATACATATTTTAATCTTACCTGTATTTAAGTTGTAACGAGTTGTTGATGACCAGTGACCACGCATGATGCATCTAATTTAGGCTTGATATATCTAATTAGCCTAGCTTGAAATCGAAAATATGTTTGATTCTCCACAATAGCCCATAATACGATGTCCAAATAATCTCACGCATTTTGTTAGAATCTGTCGCGTAGGTATTCTTCACTTGTACTCTTTCGCAAGTGTTAATTAGGTTATTATTTTTCATATGCTTCCACTCTTATAAAGTTATAACTAAGGTTGGTCACTGTGATACCGCTGTAGCTTCGGTATTACCCAAAAATGTTTTTCTTTATATCGCATAACGCATTGTTTCTGATGTGAATCGGAGTCGGAGAGAATCGGCAGTAATATGGAACATTTTGACTGAATATATATGGTTGAATATACACTGTTTGATGTAAACTGTATACATCTCAAGTAATAATTTAGTTTTTTTGCAGCTTAAATCTGTTTGTTTGGACGGTATTTTGTCACATATTATAAAGATACCATGTTCCCTTCTATATGGCTCCCAAATGATCAAATTTCATGTGATCTCAGGTTGCTATCCTCCCCATTGAACTTTTAAAACTTACCTTTTTGGAATTTGGCTTAACATCATCTCGTCCAAAGTTGGGAATTCAGTGATAATTGCACCGCAGAAAATGCTCTACTGATGATTATCTCAAACGCTAAAAAGTAAAAATAAAATAAAAAACAAGGTTCCTTACAACATTCCAAGTAATTTAAAATATCCTGTGAATTTTCTAGTGACCGTTCTTCTTCAGAAGACCAGGGAGAGGACTCACTGGGGTCCCGTACTTATAACGCCCTCAAAGATACAGAAGAGGACCCAGGCCCCTTGGAATGTCACAGTCTCAGTTACACTTCACGCAAGGTATTTCATCATTTATGGCATCATTTAGGGCATGCAAGGTATGTTATTGTAAGGTCACTTCACGAAAGGAATGTTATCATGAGATAAATTGGTGTGAGGGTCTCAACATATTTTCGTTGTAAATAAAATTTTTCGACAGTTGAGGGTAAAACATTTTTATTCGATTTCAGTAATTTCTCCGGATATGAATTTTTTTCCTCTTTTTTGTTCATCTTTGTTTCAGCAGGGCTTAAGTTTTATATAGTATTATAAATTAAATGGATACCTCATATTTTTCTATAATATTCTTCAAACTAAAATTGATTTCCCCAGCTACTGCCCATGAAGCACTATCACGATGAAGCACGTGCCATGAAAGACATCCAGAAATTCCTGTCAAATCCTATTATTCTTTTTAAACTGGAAAAGCACACAGTCCACGATATCATACAGGAGATGATAACGAAGCTTGCATCAGAGGTATGTAATGGTCACGTGTTATGTCGGAGGTAGCAAAAAAGCCGCGCACCCCCAAATATCTTTTCTCATTCGATTTTGTTGTAAGTTTATACTCTGAGCTTATCAGTATGAAGGTTACTATGATAGATATTCCCAGTTATTTCTCAGTCTCTTTGAGGAATAGTTGAGAAAATTAATAAATTGCAAATTATCACCCTTATTTGGTGTTGTATTAAAATCTTCCTAATCCTACAGAAACCACGACTCAACTTGAAATTAGAAAACATTATATCGTCGCTGGTGGAGGAAAATTCAGGTTTGCATTATTTATTTTTTATTTTCATATGCTTGAGTAATGAGTTGTGTTGTGCACATTTTTCAAATATTTATAGGTCTCTTCTGAATTATGTTCAGTTTGTGACTGCCAAGTTTCAGGACGATTTTACTAAAAATGTGGGAGGTAATAGATTTTGAAGTAGAATTAAACCTCTACTTTGAGTCAGCCCTGATATGAAGACCAACGGTCGATGTATCGTGAAAAAAACGAAATGCACTTTAGATTTCATCAATAATATTGATGATCATGAAATTAGTTAGAAATACTGTAATCTGTATGCCAATTTTATCTCTAGTACTATTTTTATTATCTCAGATTACAAGCTTATGGAGATCATGCAGGGCATGAAAACGAATGAGAAAGGTGAAAATGAGACGGAACCTTCTTTTGTCACAATCTTGTGAGTTCAATTTAGAATTCAATTTAGAATTCAATTTTAAGTTCAATTTTTAGTTCAATTCAATTTCCAAAGGTTCATAGTTTATATAATTATGTTCTTTGATTTGCAGAAAAAGGCGTGAAATGACTAGTGACTAAATGATAGATTACAGCAAAGCATAAAACTTGAGATAATAAATCCTGCACATGCAAAATACACTCGATTTTTTGATAAAAGTCTATAAGATTATCTGGCTAGAATATAAATACAAATTATGTCAACACGATATGGCACAAGTTCTAAAATTTTCAAATATAGAAATCGTTTCGGTTGTTTAAACTGATTTAAACTCGTTTATAACAGCACTCGAGCTCAACTATCATCACATAAAATAATCAGTGTTGTTAAATCAAGAAATATTTCTACATCTCTGGAATGTCCGTCTGCAAAAGCTTGTCCTTCGGAAGTTCCAACTCAGAGTCATATTTATACAGTACTTTGGTGCGGAGAACAGACGTTGACTGTCGAGACTGATCAGTGGTGAGAAAGGGTGCATTCTTTAAGCGCAGAGACGCTACAGTTTTACACATTGTCGACTGGACAGTAGAGGTGAATTTTGTTAATCCGCTGGTTCTCATCCAGGTTTTGTAATTTGGCATTCGGAAGTAGTAAAGGAAAGGATTGAGGGTGGCATTCAAGACTGGGAATACGATCTGGAAGAGGTAACTGTAATTCCATCCGATGAAATAATCAAGCGAGAACAAATCTTCAGTTTCGAACCACAAAGTGCAGTGTGACATTATTTTAGTAATAACTAAAGGCAACTGGCAAAATAGATAGATTCCGGTGAAATATGCAATTGTGACTGAGGCCCTCCAAATTTTATTTTCTGTGCGACCTTTCCCGCTGGCGGATTTTCGTGTTAACAAAGCAAAAACGCTCAAAATAAAACTAACAATGACGATCGTGATTGGTCCGAAGGTTTGGACGCTTGCTATCGGGACGAAGACTTTGTCCCAAACTTCCTTTCTTCCAGCTGCTTTTTTGAAAGATTTTGGAGCGAATGAGCAATAGCCCATATCGTTGTAGAAAACGAATTGAACTACGTCCAAACCATACAGTACGGAGACAAATCCGAACTCAAAAATGACATACACAGCAATGGCTCCTATGATCAGTGGCTTCATGATGTTGTGAAAGGGAGCCACTATGGAGACAGTCCTGGAGACACTGATGACCATGACTAGGAAGAGTGCCATGGTAGTTGCACCTTTCCAGAAAATAGTCCAGAGCCCACAAAATGTAGGGTTCTTAAAAAACATTTTTTTCCTTAAAGCGAAAAGGACAACGGCAACTGGCCATGAAAGCAAAGATGTCAGCGTGTCTAATACACACATCATGGTGTATAGGGTGTCGTGGATTGTTTTCTTTTTCTTTTTCACGAAGTAGATAAGCGAGATGATGTTTCCCAATGTCCCTGCAACGCACAAACTCGCAAGAATGACTCCCCAGAGGGTGTCCAATTTCAGCATCCTCCCGGAGGGACTCACAGAGAAGAAGGTTGTTGAGAATGTTTCAATGGTTGTGTACTGAGACAGGTTGTGCGTCATCATTTGCAGCAGACTTAGCTAAGATATTATTGTTTAGTGATTGGTTATCAAATATTGATTAAATAATAATATAATAATATATATTATGAATGCACATTGTATTAAATTAATATCCAAAGTCCCACTGCTATTTTGTTTAAGGATATCGGGATCTCAGTGCCAATTCGGCCGGGTACTAGAAAGCTTCATGGATCATAATAAATTAAACCGATGCAATTAAAAACGAATAGTATAAATTCCCTAAGTTAAACATGTTAAAGAGCTCCAATGCATAGCTGGTAACACAGGATCAGTGGCACCCTTAGTGAAATAGCTAAAATTGCGTACTGAAAGAAAGGACGAATGGTTCATTATTATTAGATCAAACTAGCTATTAATTAAGGCTATACGAAACATTCATTTTTCAGTTTCCACGTATAAATTTCAAAGAGCCGCTGGAGACGAACAACATTATAGCACCGGCCCTAATTAACATCAGCAACTCCACTCATAAACCTGTGATTTATAATAGTATAATGCAGGTGGCAAACAGGGCTTTGTGTTATAGCTTTAAATAATACTCACAAGGAAAACCAGGGGTTGGCTTCTCCCACACGAACCTAGGTTTCTGGAGCGAGCTCAAGGAATTGTTATATCTTGGGCTCGCTCCAGAAATTTGGTTAACAGTGTCATACAACTTGCAAGCTAAGGCCAAATGATTGTTCGAATGCGAATTACCATAATTACAGCTTGTACCATGTGTATGTTACCATCTTGGAGGCGCCAAGTGTCTTTAGACAAAACGTTGGAGCGTTTTTGCATGGTATAAAATAAATAAATAAAAATGGAATCGTATTGAACTATTCCTGTAACCTAATCAATATTGAGCTAATTACTAATTAGCATACAACTGCACGGTCCGTGGCTGGTGGCACCACACGGTCTGCTGTCTTACAATTCAATGCTGATATAATAAAGATATAAGTCCGCCAAAAAATCTATAGTGTGGCTGGTGCTGATTGTTAAATTATATTGTTTAAGGGGACGCCGGAAGGGAGGGAGGTTGCAATTATGCCAAATCACCTCAACATGCCCAAAGCCCAGATTTACTTGTAGCTAGTGGTCCAAAATCGTTGACATCATTTATAGCAGTAAAATGTCAACAGATATATTATATTACTAGTGTAACCCGTGCCTACTGCCTATGGCCGGGACTCTCTCAGTTGAAAACGAAATTTAATTCTAAGCGCCCATCACGTAATACGTATCCAGTAGGAATACTTAACAGGCTCAACTGCCAAATTACCTAATTATGTTCAAAGCAGTTATTAGCAGGGTTGTGAAAAACGTAAATGGTAAACTCAAAAAACGTTAAAAACGTGTTTTTTTCTATTTTTTCCAAAAAACGAGAAAAAAACGTTCGCATAATCTAATCAAGCCGACTCACGTGAAAATTCAAAATGTAGCGGTATGACCAATCAAACTTGCCAGTTGTGTTGACTGTTGAATACTCTTGCTTTCTAAGTTACTGTACATGTAACACGAATAACTAAGAGGGGTGGGAATCAGCTGCAGTTTCATCTTTCTATCAGTAAGCAAGAAATGAGATTATGACCATGCCATGCACCTACAGCCTACTAAGAGAGCAACATCAGATGTTAAATATAGTTTCGGTTATACTTTCTGGAAATATCAAATATGAAACATCTTAATATGCGCTAATTTATCATTTAAGTTATAGAATTAGCGTTATCTCGCACATATAATCTGACGGTATAATATAGCAGAGTCTGGAATGTTCGCTTAACTACAATAATAAAGTGAGTAATGACGATATGTGATGGATCTTTTCGATACTTTGCAGTTTTAATAGGAATGTACAGTGTAACTGAAGACTGCAATCTGCTTATGTGATTGTGGCCCAGGCCTCAGTGTTCGTACTTCGCTGGTTCGCTCACTAGTAGTCGGTGACTAATCACAACGTTTTTTAAATAAATACGCAAAAACCTGTTAAAAAAACGTAAAAACGCTCCAATTCAAAAAAACGTAAAACATGACGTATTTCACAACCCTGGTAATTATGGGAGCTGTAAATGGGGAGAGACTAGTAAGTGAGAGAGAGAGTATGCGAGAGGGACAATAAGTTAGTCACTTTAATATGACATTTGCAGCACAAACCCATCAATTAAACCACTTACCACCGGCCACTTTTTTTTAAATTTTCGCTTTGGCTTCGGAAAAACCAGTCCCATAACTTTTACCGTTTTCTCGATTAAACCATTTGGAAATTTCCCACACAGACAGTCAGACAGATAGACACACATTTTGGGATTATTAGTATTGATATTTATATAATAAATGTATCATCTTGCTTTTTATATAGTAAGATGGATCATTAAAACATCATACCAGTATGATAACTACAGATTACTTTCGACACTGCAAAACTTTATAAACATTTGACTATCTTGAATAATATTTCCGTTGTTCGAGAATAAGGAAAAATGAACTTCATTAGGTATCTATTAAGAAATACCTCAATGCATGCTATTGCCCCTATTTAACAGTGACAGTGAAATGTGGTCGAAGGCCGGGTTGAACTATTAACCGGGTTGAACTAATAACCGGGTTGAACTATTAACCGGGTTGAACTATTAACCGGGTTGAACTATTAACCGGGTTGAACTATTAACCGGGTTGAACTATTAACCGGGTTGAACTATTAACCGGGTTGAACTATTAACCGGACGGGTTGAACTATTAACCGGACGAGGTATGGTCTTATTCCAAGTAAAGTAAAGCTTATGAAACAAAAAAAGCGTCAATTCATAGATTGTATCATATATGCATGCAAAAAGAGTTAGGTTTAACAAAGTTCTTAGCATAAGAACCTCTTAATATATGAATCCTAATATACCAATCTTAGTAGTTGTGTTATGAAGTTTTAAGGAAAACTATTGCTATTTATAAGGAAACCAGCTGTGTTCCGTAATATATATAATTGTCAACTTGTTACAATTTAAATGCTTCTCTGAGTCTTATAGTCTGGACTAAAACTCTCAGACTTTAATATTTTCCTCCTTTTCATGCCAGTTACCAGCAATGCCATTTAATAAGAAATTATGGCAGACAATTTTCCGATACATTAGTGCAATTATTCTACTGATAGTGCAAGAACTTCACTAATTCCACCTTCAAGTTTGAATTAAAACGACCACAATTCTCCAAACTCATCGTATATATACGACAAAACGTCACAAATTACGAGTGACCACGCACGTTTGGGCTTTTGAGATAAAAATAAAAAAGCATTATCAACCTAACTCCATCATCATGCCATACTTAAACCTCAATAGAATCGGATCGTCCACATTAAAAGTCTTGACATAACTCCGTCAATCCGCTAGAGCTATAATTCAGCGAATTTACTGAATTTACTGAATTTACAGAATCATCCAGAAATCATGTTTGAGGTTCAAATAATAAGCCACAATCCTGTAAAGAGTACACTCTGGATAAAATGATTAAATAGATATCTAATTATTATATTTTAGATTAAGAGAGCCTTTTTGCCAACCTAAATACCGAGGCAAAATGCCAATAGAAACTTTGAACCCCAACTAATTTTAGGTTTGCACTGTATAACAGTTGCAAAGATTTATAAAAGATCATGCCAAATGAAAATTCTATTACGATCGGAATCTAAGATGTCTAAGCTAGATTTTAAAATGTTTGGAATCCTGAGCCCTATCTCTATTAATTAAAGAGCGACCTGTCAAATTTCGATGCTAAAATCACTAATTTTATCGTTAAGATATGAAAAATTATTTCAAAAAATATGTGCCGACTTCTCATAAGTTAAGTTATCAGTTTTAATTTTAAAGTAAACTTGGTGGCAAATCCAAACTATTTTGAATCGATTGAATGATAATCAAAACGATGCTATAATACTTTTAATACAGTATTATGAAATATAACTTATATTATGAAAACATTGAGCTTCGTTTCACTTTAATCGCCAAAAAATAGACTTCAAGTGACCACGTTGATAATAGCTGGATATTTTAAAAACACAAAGGGAAATAAATGGCGATACTTTTTTAGGATTTTATGTTCGGAGTAATATGCCGTATAAAGTTAATTTAAGAAATATATCAGCCTATCACGTACAAGTATCAAGTAGTATCACGTACAAATATATTATCGGACAAAGAATGCCAGACTGGGAGTTAAAGTTATACGGTACTCCCTTCTCTCACCAAAAAAAGCATCAGCTGCTGCACGCCTATGACTACTCATTCACAGTGAGATCTGTAAGATTCTGGAATGTTCTCCCCCAAATTGTCAATGCTTGAGCTTCAAAACATTTCTTGGAAACTACCTAGACGCCCTTCCTGACAAGCTCAGTGCAGAAAATTCTAACTTGATAATCGATTGGTGCAGTCAATGAGGTGGTCCGCAGATTGCGTAATCACCGTGAAGAGGCCTACTTCTAAACCTCTCGATAGTTTCAATAGGTAGAAAAGACGAAGACAAATTGGACTATTGAAAGGGTGGACCTGCAGGACAATATACATATTACATAAGAGACCAGTTTTAGGGGGCCATACCTAAATATTTATAAAATATAAATGGGCTATTATGGAATATTATGGGCACTTACACAATTGTCCATAATCTATATCATTGTCTTCACATGTGGACGTTCATTTGGCCACTGACCACCTCGCATATTATTGACGCTTCATAATAAGATGTGACATTTATCTACAATTAAACATAATATCTAACTACCGTGGTATTTCAGGTGTAGCAGCAATGAGGTCACAGAGAATCACGTGGTTATGTGTTTGCTCCACAACACTATTAACCTGGGTCCCGGAGCAGAGGAGATCCATTTTATCGCCCTGGTGTTGAGCCCTCTTAAAGAGGTAAGTGTTTAAGGGGGCCGGGGGGGCCTCCATCAAATTATCTCGAAATCTTTTTGATGGAGACCCCCCCCCCCCCCCTCCCCGCGGCCCCCTTAAACGATTTTTCGTAGGGTCAGGAGTTTTTTGTTGGATTTTATTTCGCACCATGGTGAGTGGTCACCAGGAAAAACACGAAGTAAGGTTAAGGCAAGAAATTATAAGGTGTACAACTTTTAAGACAGAATTCTTATACTCTTAGATCTTATATATAAGCCTTGACTTCAAAAGCCCAAGAACCTATAAAAGTATAAAGACGTAAATTAAAAATTTCCAGGGTTAGTATTCTTGTCCTTTCTTTGTGTGGAAAAAGAAATATCAACTTCAAAATTAGACATATCAAAACGAGACATATGGTAAAACACTTGACACTTGTATAAAGTTAAACTTTACTTCAAAAGCGTAAAAACATACAAAGTAGTAAGCAAATTTACACTACTTACGTGATGAGACTGGGATAATTAGTGAACAATTAGTGAACAATTAGTGAACAATTAGTGAACATTAGTTTATTAAGCTTTCTTAATGGCTGCGTGGAGGGTCGTGGTAATATATATATATGTAGTATATGTGAATATATCGTGTAAATATGACTTCATAATTTGACCAATAAGGCTTTTGAGTGGGAGGAGCCTGAAAATCTCATAAAAGCTATCTTTTCGGCAAGGATAGTCTGAAACCTGGATAGTGGATAACGCGTAAAATTTTAGGTCTGTTATATAACGAAAATGTAGTTATTTAAAATCAACGTTGTGGACCAGCCCTCTTTTCCAGATATCAGCGTACAGTAGTCAAATAAAATTACAAACACACTTGGTACTTCATGGTATTCGAGTTGGCAATCTCCCAGGGCCCAGCTTGTATGAAATGAATGCGGACATCTTGGACACCGCCATGTTTTGTCTCAAAATGTTGCAAGGAAATGTGGCTTGATCACGATTAATATTAATAACTAAATAATGAGCTAAGGCCGGTGCCATAAAATATTTGGTTTAACCCGGTTTGTGAGCCCAACATGGTATTTTTATATTGCCTAGAGGTCGAACCGAACAAAATTACGCGTGCTTTCTTGAGAATAACCTGAGACGAATAACCTGATCACAAAACAATTGCTGTTATTGACAATACGTCTTATATATAATGCCACAACGTATTCTCAAAAGCAGCACTAAATAACGACTCCATTCTCCAATCTCCGCGTGCCACGTTCATTACAAAAATTTGCATACGCAATTTAAAATAACCACAACAACGTAAGTTTGGCCCAACGTGGATCCTGGAGCAACCACTGATCAGTTAGATAATTCAATTGCTCTTTAAAACCTAAATTTTGTACTAAAATAATGGCATACGCGGATGCCATCTTCATACTCCAGAGCGTTATAGTGTTACGCAGTAGCATAGATGTGTTGATTGCAGCCTTTTCCGGGTCGTACAATAGTTTGTTTTCGACAGAACTGCGACATTCCTGCGATGAAAAAACTTCTACAGAACTGCGAAAGTGCTTTGACAGAACAGCGACAGTCCTGTGTGCGACAGTTCTGATGATATAACTACGACAGAATTGAGACAAAATTGAGACAATACAAAATTCCAATACAAAATATTATAAGAAATAACATAAGTTTGCTAACAAATAAATTGCTGAAATTTAAACTGGTATTAAAATATAGCTGTTATCGGATGAACAATTTACAGCACACTTCAAATAAGCCGGCTGGAAGCAATATAGCGTGTCTCCGCTTTTGGTTGAACTCGTCAGAATTGAGGATAGTTCCACTAATGCTGTATGGAATGCTTTGATACTAAATCGAGTTAAATGGGTCATTAGTCATTAAAATTTAAAGTCACTTAGTTACGCATGTTGTGTCCATAATCCATATTTAATATTAGGCACGTATGAGAGAAATTTGTATATCAGCGTCTGAAGGGCTTATAGGCCTTCGGAAAAGAGAATGACGGTAACATTTTTGTGGTACAAATTTTGTCTCAGTCAGTCACAGCTAGACATTTGATATGAGTCTACACTATATTCCTCAGATTATTACATAACTGAATCCTTTACAGAAAAAGATCAAGTGTGCAATCGAAGTTTCTCGAACATATTCGACTCTGCTGGCAGATGTCAAATTGCGGCAACAACTCAAGGGGGCAACTAATCCGACCGAATTCGCCGTAAGTTTACTTCAATATATTGCTATGTTTATAAACTATATAATTGGAAACAATCTGTTATTTAACAACATTTTTATTTCACGAGGTGCTCACTGACGTAGCTTATAATATATCTTTACTCACATATTTAGTATACTAGTTTAGAATAGGTTTTAATCGAAGTCTTTAAGTTTACAATAGTCTTAAAATTATCGAATCGAGCTTAATAGATTCGATATTGATTTTACATTCTTGAATAAATTTAGCTGTTTTTTCAAGAATGCGAAATTAACCAAATGGTTTTAAACAATTGCTAAACAATTACAAAATAAGCAATTTCAATCTAAAGATCGGTCACTATAGTTATGCAACAGATTTCTCGAATGACAGAAATGTCATTTACAAAGTTACACTCAAGAATTACTATGTGATAGGCATACGATGAAGATCATTGGTTAGCACCGAGTACTGTTTCAGTGCTTCCGGTTATTGCTCCTCAATTAATCAGTCAATCAATCGGACAGAAATAATATGAAATATTCATGTGTTGTGTTTGATCAATGAAGTGCCTTGAGTGAAAATTGCTCCGCAGATCAATTAAATCATAGGTCATTAAGGATAATTGTGACTGATAACATATGCATTCGACATTACCTATCTAAACAATTTGTGACATGCCAATTTAGCGGTACGACAATCGTATGTGTGTGCAAATTGTCAACGATTCAATTTAGATCTAATCATCGCTATATTATGTTCTGAACATTTTTGATATGTCAGAATCTACGCATTAAAACGGCTGACGCACAACTAAGAACCTGTCAATTTTACCTAGTTAACTAATTAACATGCTAGCTTGGGAAATCCAATCAGCTCCGACAACTAAGAACCTCTGGAGATACTTTAAACATTCAGTGTCCAATGATTTCACAGCTGTGCTGGTTCATCCCCCCCCCCCCCCTCCCCATCAGCTTTAGTCTTGACAGAGTCTTGACAGATACCCATGTATGTCCTGGGAGCTAATACACAATTTATGGCGCATTAAGTTATCTTAAATAATTTATACACCATACTCCATACTATTAACGCAGCACAATAACAACTTTATGTTGGGCAATTACGCACCCAAAATTTTGAGTCGCTTTTGGCCGCAGAATTGATCAAATGCATTATATTTTGAACTAAACCAACATTATCTTTGATAGTTAAGCATGATTTCCATAATCCTATAATATCAGGCTATAGAAATTTATCACGTACTGAGGCTTATAGGTTCAAAAGAATACGGAAACAATTTTGTGACAAATTTTGCCATCATCACTCAGTTTCGCATAATTTCAATAACATACTTCCTTCAAAAAAAGACTCAATGAGTTTCTCAACATATTGATTTGGCAGTGTCAAATTTTCAGAACAACGAGAATCGCCGAGTTTACCTTAAGTTTTGCATAAATATTGATTGGGAAACCTTTAAAAAAATTTTATTCGGGGCCAAATTTAAAATCCCGCAAATTTTGAATATTTATAAATTTTTTAAAGGCCCTAAGTTTACAAATTCGTCAAAATTAAACGATCGAAATGCGATTCGATATGTTACTTCTGAAAATTTCATGTTAAGAATTGAAAATTAACCATGAAACACTATTGACATTACATAAAGCTATTTTTGAAGCGAGTCCAAGTTTGCAAATATTCTCGAATGAGATATGGGAATGTCATTTACGATATTGAACGACCAAGAATTACAGTTAGGATAGATATTGAGCTGGTTTAGAAGATGTTGTTAGGCTTCCTTTCTCTAATTAATTGTAATTCAATCAAAAATATTGAATATATCATGTTTGGGTCCAAGAATCGATCGAAAATTGCTCGCAGCAAATTCCAAATATAGGTCATGTAGTTTTGTGACTCATAACTACCCATTTTTATCCAAACATTGTAAACATTGCAATTTAGCGGTTCATGGGGCAAACTAATATGCCGCTTTTTATTTTACAATAGTAAAGCACCACAAAGCCTGGTATTTACCTGTTAACTAATTTGCTAGTTGGGAATTGGACAAAAATCTGGCAGCCCTCGGGCACTGATTTCACAGCTTGGGTTCTAATGTAAAGGTCTATCAGGCACAACGACAAGCGCTCCCTAATTACAAAATACAATCTTAATTACAATCATAATGAACTTAATTATAATCTTAATGCACTTGCACGAATTAATTAAGTTCATTGTCTAATGTCTATTAAATTTCAATGTCTTGGCGTTCGTTCAGACTGTTCACGGACTGTTCGCATGTGAGTGTGACCATTGACAGGTGGTAAAAATGCAAATGGTCGCAAACTTGAGTCTTGACAGAAACTGCGGTATGCCCTCTATAGTCTATACAAGGTACCGGGTAAGTTTAACAGCTTCAATTGGATTTTGGAGTCTACCACCTGCAATTAAAATAAGTTAATTTAATAAATTAAATTAAATACTGATCTTATACACAGCATCCTGTCAAGGCAAATCCATTCTCAAAAAGATATGTAACGACAAGTTACTCGATATAGGAAACAAAAACTGATTAAATAAACAGCTTCAATGGATATAACCTTAAATACCGGGTTACGTACATTGCTAAACACAACTAACCAATGATTCTTGCTGCTACAACGAGCCCCAAAGACCAAATATTTAGATTCAGTTTAATAAGGAACCCGATAAGATTATATACGCATATGAACCAGATGTAGCCAAAATGATACTGGGACTAACAATATCAATATCATCATGACACAAACAAAAACACAAACACAAACACAAACACAGACACAGACACAGACACAAACACAAACACAAACACAGACACAGACACAGACACAGACACAGACACAGACACAGACACAAACACAGACACAGACACAGACACAGACACAGACACAGACACAGACACAGACACAGACACAGACACAAACACAGACACAAACACAAACACAGACACAAACACAAACACAGACACAGACACAGACACAGACACAAACACAGACACAGACACAGACACAGACACAGACACAGACACAGACACAAACACAGACACAAACACGAACACAAACACACACACACACACACACACACACACACACACACACACACACACACACACACACACACAAATTATCGTGCTGCCTCAACATGACCTAAACAAGGGCATTGGGGTGGCGAATCATCTATCAAGGCTTGTTTTAGGACCAGTACGCCTCGAGCTCGGGTCGGTATAGTGCTCACTGCAACACCACTTAGCGTTTGTAACAGTAAAAATATACAGAAGACAATTGTACATTGTATGATGCCGTTCCTGCAAAAAATTTATCAAATTTTAAGCACTAATTCGGGCGGCTGCTGAGCAGAAAAATGAAATAGGAATAGCAATAAGAAAGGTAGAATATTTATTTTAACTTGTTATTAACCTACTCCACATCTCAACGCTTCTTTAAAAAGATAATTAACGGACTGCCCGGAATTTTTTTGCGAAACAGGGTGTTTTAGACGACATTTGGCACTAAAGAAAATTGTAGGACAGCAATAAACTGGGATTGAAAAGAATCAAGTACTCACGTAAATTTGGTAACTTCACAACAGCAATCTGCATTCTCCAATCAGAATTTACGACTTACTCAGGCCTCATCGTCTTAAGATTTTTACATTTCCTACGGTCTAGGGGACACTATTGACTATTTATAGAAGTCTTCTAGAATGTTTGCTTGGATTTTATGACAGATTTTATGACAGATATTTACTTTATGACAGATATTTACTATAATCCACAGTTCAAATCTTTGACTGACTGCAGTCAGAAACACAGCCCAGTTACCAGGCGACCATGGGGACTAGGGGGCTTATATTTTTTCTGGGGTTCGATTTTTTCCGGGGGGGCTGCCGCCCCCCTAGCCCCCCCCCCCCCCCCCCCCTGTCTACGTGCCTGCCGATACGATGGTGTTCCCGCCCACTCGTACATCAATCATCATAGTCATAATTATATCGACTTCGCTCACGGACCTCAACTGCTATCTCAGAATCTACCAGACGATAAGACGATTAGAACCCCCCAACGGCGAAATTATAACTACCGAGCATTACATGTATGTCGACGTCTGTGTTATCTCCGGTAATTTTCTTGACTAATGGTTTAACCACAATAGTAATTTAAATTAGGAGACCAATACAACTGCCCACTTTAATAATAAATTAGCAGCTCCCTACAGAACCCTCACTCCATATTCATCCCTCTCCAACAATGAGTCGTTTAGTCGTTAATGTGTTGCATGACCTGATTATGATCTGGATCAATAATGATATTGATAACTACCACACCGAATGCTATGATCATAATCAGAAGTACAAGCTCAGGAACCCCAATACGATTTTGATCGTGATAGGAGTATCAACAAGGACTTTTAGTGACGAGCAGGCCGACAAATTAGAGGTCGTTTTGCGATGATCGTATCGTGTCAGCTAACCTTTGAGAGGATAGATAAGGACAGAGCGATTTTCTGAACGTCCAACAACAAAATAAATACTGGCTGACAACAAAAACAAATACTGGCATATCTATAAATACTGGCACCAGCACCTACTAATAGTAAGATGAACTAGAGGTTGATCGTTTAACGGTTTACGGAATAATTTCTGCGTCAACTGTCGAGTGTCGACACTAATGATAGATCAGTTTAATATTTGGATTATATCAGCGCGTGCATGAGTTGGGCCTGTTAAAATCGGTCGTGTTATTAACAGTCAATAAGCATTATAATGCTTGTTGACTTTTCCAAGGTATTTGATCTAGTTGACAGCGAGATACTTCTTCAGAAGCTGGAACACTATGGTGTAAGGGCGCCTCAGCCTGTCTTGGTTCGAGTCATATCTAACAATTAACGGAGACGATAATATGTTCACGTCAACAGTTGCAATTCAGAAGAAATGGGGTTGGCACATGGAGTTCCTCGAGGGTCCATTCTTGGTCCAATATTGTTAATTATTTACAT